TCTGACAGAAGATGGAGCTCCACTTGCCCGCCACTCATATCCTGCTGTGCCACCTGGTTCCTAACAGGCCATAGACTGGTACTGGTCTGTGGCCTGGGGGTTGGGGATCCCTGCTCTACCCTGTTGTTCCTCATTTGTGTAAAATAGAGAAGCAAGCAAAAAAAAATCTTATTTAACTGTGATTTTCTGGGTGGTGGCTCACCCCTGTAATTCTAGCACTTGGGGAGGTGGAGGAGAGAGGATTACCTGAGCCCAGGAGTTTGAGACCAGCCTGGGCAACTTGGCGAGACCTCATATCTACAATAAATAAAAAAATTAGCCAGGCACTACTTGGAAGGCTGAGGTGGAAGGATCACCTACGCCTGGGAGGTTGAGGCTGCAGTGAGCTGTGATCATGCCACTGCACTCCAGCTTGGGCGACAGAGTGAGACTCTGATTCAAAACAAAACAAGGAGAAACCTGTCATTTAACACTCAGGGACACTAGGCGCCCCCATGGCACAAGGTCTGGGTGAATGAATGAAGAAAGGAAGGGGCAGCAGTTCCTCTAGAAGGGGTTTTAGCATTTGGGGGGAGTTTGGGTAGCAAGGATGTGGAGGAGGATGGAGGAAGAGCAAGGTCACTGCAGTGTCCACAGAGAGGAAAAGGAGGACAGAGGAGAGACGGGGAAGAGGTCGTGCTCTTGGGGAAACAGAACACAGGGATCTCCTTTTCTGTACAAACCCTTGAAATGCCTGCCCTGAGTGAGGGTCCCTGCAGATTTCTGATTTCCAGATCCAGTACTATGGATTCCTCTGAGTAACCAGGATCAGAGAAGCAGCCTGAAACAGTGTTTCAGGTAGCAGACTGGGGGACCAGACATCTAGGTCTAAATCTTATCCTGCCACTATGAGTGGGATGTCAGACAAGGTACAGAATTTCTCGGTGTCTCTATGTCCTCATCTGTAAAATGACTATTCTAGCAACCAATCTGCTGTGAGGATAATGGGAGTTGGTGACAAGCACAAGCTTGTGATGTTCAAGGCAAACACAATGGCTTGTGCGCTGATTTCTCCTCTCACCTCTCACATCCAGCCTGCCAGCAAATCCGACTGGCTCTACCATTAAACGATACCCAGAATCCGACGACTTTTCGCCACTGCTGCCACCAGCCCTAACATACTACTTCCCTGGTTTATCGGAACAGCCTCCTAAGTGGTTTGCAACACAACAGAGACCTGCTGTGTCAGGTCGAGACACTTCCCTCTCAGGCCCCTCCAATAGCTTTTTATCTGACCATGAATAAAAGCCACAGGTTCTACAGAAACACAACAGAAAAGGTGGCGCTTGGCTCCCCTTGCCTGTTTTCTCTACAGCACACTTAAATTCACCTTTATATTTCATTACTTAGTTTATTTATGGTCTGTCCCCTCCTGCTAGAAAAGTGAGCTACAGGAGAGCATGGATTTTTGTTCTGTTTCATTCTGTACTGAGTCTACAGCATCTAGAACAGTTCCTGACAGAAGAATTTCCATAGTGGCTGAGTTGATTGAATGAATTTATATAAAGTACTTAGAGAACTAAAGTAAGTATTCAATATCCATTAAGCATTATGGGTGTCATTATCCTTCTCAGACCTTGGTTGCCTTTTTAAAGAGCTCCCCTATTCAGTCAGAATTCCTTTATTTTATTGTTTATTTTTTTAGAGACAGGGTCTCACTCTGTCACTCAGGCTGAAGTGCAGTGGAATGATCACAGCTCACTGTAGCCTTGAACTTCTGGGCTCAAGAGATCCTCCCGCCTCAGCAACCTAAGTAGCTGGGGCTATTGGTGCACTCCACCATGCTCGGCTAATTAAAAAAAAAATTCTTGTAGAGACTGGGTCTCACTATGTTGTTCAAGCTGGTCTTGAACTCTTGGCCTCAAACCATCTTCCCACCTTGGACTCCCAAAGTGCTGGAATTATAAGTATGAACCACCACACCCAGCCTCAATGCCCCTTTAGAACCACATATTACCACCTTCTTCAGAATACTTCCTAAACTAGCACAGAGCAGAACAGGGCTGCTATTTTCAGTTTATTCCACCTCTAGGTTGTACCAAGCTTTTTTCTTCAGCTTTTAAGCAACCAAAACATTCTTGTGTACATAATTAGTCAATTATTTAGTTTTGGAAGGAATTGCTGCCAAATCAACACAGCAAAAAAACTGTGTTCCTGGGGGTATGGTCTTTGGATTAGATACTTATTATCCTGTTAGCGGTGGTGACAGAAAGTTTCCTACACATTTGGAGTCCTGCAGGGTAGCCTCAAGTTCTAGGGGCTGCCCTGGGCAGTGTTTCATTATGTGGATTACAGAAAACATGTCAAGTCAGCAGTTGCTAATATTTATACTTATGCTGGTGTTACTTACAATAACATATTACTATAGGTCATATATAACAATATCCATATTGGATAATAGATTGCAATCAAGTATTGCTATGGAAGTTAACAGATGAATAAACTTTATTTTAAGGTGACTGTCCCGTTTTACATATATACATCCAACTATAAACACTGGCACATAAATGAATTTTTCACATTTATGTATGTTTGTATGTAGATATATGTATGTATTTGGCTACATTCTTGACTGAGATACAGAATTTTAAGATTAGAGAAATGTCAACTAAATAGTAGTTATTTCTTTCTGAAATTAACTGGATTGTAACATAGCATAAATAGTGACTCTATACCTATAATAAAAATGTTAAAAATTGAGGTTAGCTATATTTTGGGGGCCCTATTACTCTACTGCTCATGAAACAGTAGGTAGAGATGATCTATCCTTGAGAATTTGAGTGATTTTATCATACCTTTATTGTGGAGTTGTTATAAGGCTCAATTACAGAACCCCACACACACACACACACACACCTCACACCCACCAAAATGCTTTGCAAGCATGTACTTCATGAATTTAAAGTATTTTCCTCTTTGAATACAAAAAACAGACCTATGATGTTGGACTAGCTAGTAAAGCCTATAGTTGACTTAGTCCATTCTTCTTATTTCCAAAGGCGCACCAGCTATTTAAACACTATTTTCAAAGTAGCAGTAGTAATAAAACAACAAGAGAAAGAACCCTGTTAGCACTTCCCACTGTACACAGAGTGCACGGAAACATGATGGAGCCGTGACATTCATTTCACTTTGAATTAAACACAGCATCACCGCAAGTCTCCAGAGACCATATTAAGTTTTGTATTTGGGCAATGCTGGGAATTCTACAGGCAAGGGTAGAATTATACTTGGTTGGCGAAAAGCCAGTCAAACTTCACACTTGTTCTAGACGTAGGTGGTCAAAAACTCAGCTCTTGTCATCAAACCTCTGGGCCACAGTTGCTTAAATGGTCTGGGTCTCAAAATCTTTTGTGTTATTCATTTTGAAAATAAAACAAACATTCAGAAATGAGATAAAACAAGGCAAAGACTTATGTCTAATGAGAAAGATATTAGGTTAGAATTGACCTCAGGCTCAAGCAGGCCTAATCTGACAGAGCACATCAAGTAAAAACAAATAACAGAATTAGATTTTCCCAATGTCATCATCAGCTGTATGTGATATAAATACAGAGGGTGCCAGAAAATGGATACACATTTTAAGAAAGGAAAAAACTGTACTAAAATTGCAGTTCTCAATATATACTGATAACAAAAGATGAATACAGGTCATATATGACTTCTGCATTTACAAGAGGTGCTCAAAGTAGTTACCATCAGTTTCCAGATGCTTCTGCTGACAGTGAACTAAAAGTAATACATAGATTATATCTCTTAAAGTGTATATACATTTTTTTCAGCACCCCTGGCATATTTGATGTTATTTCTTCAGGAAAAGGGGACTTAGAAGCCCAGCTAAGAAGGAGATATGCTAACAGCTTCCTCTCTGTCCTCCTTGAAATACATGCTGTCAATTTTTTAGGGTTCACAGTATATGTTTCAAAAGAAGCCTTCACTTTTGGTTCACGCTCCTTAATAGGTCTGGTTTTCTGGAATAATATATGATGCCTCTCTCTAATAAATTTAACCACGAACTTTTTTTAATGTGTCTCATTCTGCTAATTTATAAAAAGCAGGATGCTGTCAGATAAAATTTCATGAAAATGATCTGGAAACCAGACTGTCAAGCGTGAAAGGTACTCTCAGGCAGTACTTAGAGGCAACAAGTACATGGAAACCACTGGAAAGCGTTCCTGAGACTGCGGTGAAACAATGTACTGTGATGGAGCTCACATTACCTTGATTTGCAAGTTACTGTGAGGTCACAGGAAATCCCAAAATGTTTTCCACATTTTCTTTTATACATTTTATGTCAAATTTCCTGCAATTGAAATCATAAACCCTCCTACTGCTGGAATCTCTTCTGAAGGGAAGGAGATCTTTTGACACTCACTCATGAACACCTAATAACTCAATTCCTACCAGGGCAACAAGAAACTGAAAGACAGAATTGAAAATGAACTATGATAAGGCTGAAATGTCAGATGTCCTAATTCTTTCAAAATGAAAACCAAACTGATGTCATTAAGACAACTGAAAAAGTGCATTTAATCTAGTGACAGCAGACATCTCTTTAGAATAAGAGATAACAGAAGAAATGACAGGCCGTCCCAAAGACAGAAACTCACCATTCCCCGAATCGCTTATCCAAAATGTATGTGTGGATTTATGGTCACATTTAAAAATGGCATCCTCTATATGGATATTCTTAACAAGAGTCAAGCTCCCAACAACCATATTTTATTGTCTCAGCTATGTTTATGAAAGGATAAGTCAGATTTAAGTAAAATGTTCAAGTTTAAAACATTCTCTGAAGATTTATCACTCACAACGATGGAATTTCAAAATAGCTTTTAAATGGCCGAATACTATTTTAATATAAATCAACAAAATGGAAGGTCATGCTAAATGATGAAAGTTCATTAATGAATACCAATTTGTGAGGTTTGGTTGGATAGTGAATTATGAGCACACATTACCTCTCCCGACATATCAGGGGCCATTGGAACAGCAGGCCACAGAGATGAGTAGATTCCAAAAAACACCACCCAGAGTGCGATGCTGCCCCATATCGCTATGTGGCTGAACTGTGAAGCAAGGAAATCCGAGTCAAACAATGTTTAGGTAGACCGAGTGCACAAACATTTTCACAATTTCCCTTATTAATTTTTTATAACATCCACAAAAATACTATCTGTAGGAATTTCTACATAAATGTGTATGTGTGTTTCATTGGACCTCTCATTAATTATTAATCTTTTCTACAACAGTTATGATGCTTGTGGTGCTGGAATTTAGAGCTAATTGTTCCTTCTCTCTGAAGGCTAAAGCAATTCAATCTTGGATGCTAATCTGCCATGTTGACTTCTGACTAACCCAGTTCTGCTAAGACCTCCAGGATAACCCAGGTATCTATCGTTCCTTGTGTAACAGCAGGTACTATAAATCCTATCCTTAGGTCAAACAACCTTGATGTCATCATACCTCAGATGCTCTACATATCCCTTCTGAATCATCCTCTCCCTATAGTACAGAAGTCCTGGATCTAGGGGTTCATCGTGTGGGCAGTCTGCCGTCTTCTCTTACCACCACCCAAGACCCAGACGTGGCTTGTGATTAAATGTTTCTTTTTGAGAAACTGGGTATGCCAGCCTCCTTCCTCAGCCTCTCAGAACCCTCAGACTTCAGGGGTGGGTGTGCACAGACCTGCCCACCACATAACAATCTCCTTTGGTGGTTTTCTCCTTAGTCTTATCTTTTTTTAATCCCCCACCATCTTTAAGCGTCCCTTACTTTTGCTCTGCATGCTCTTGCTGAATGTTGTTAGACACTTGTGAGAATATTATCTGTATGCCAATGAATGTCAAATTCAAATTTCTTGTGCCAGTCTTTCCTTTGAACACTACACTTTAATTCCTCTTTGTTTACTGGGTCTCTACCTAGATGTGGATAGACTGCACAACTAATGCATTTAAAATGAAATTTATTTTATCCAGACTGGGTATTTACAAAATGTCTGAGGACAAATCTTTCATTAATACTACTAGTCTTCAGAATAATTTTCCAATGGGTTTCCTGCAAAATGCTAATCTTGTGACACTGCTAAGAAAAGATTTGTAGTCAAATAAGTTTGACAGTCTCCTCACTTCCTGGGATACTCACAATATACCATAAGATATTAAAGGCTCTGAGAAATCTTGTGCTAATAAAGTTATTTGTTTAACTTGGTGTTTCCTAACTAAAACTCCCAGCTCTTCAACCTACCATTTGATACCCCACAATGAACAACCTGCAGTCTAGAATAAAGAGATATGAAGTTAGAATGAAAAACAACCCCCAAATTAGAGACGACACATAAACGAATGTGACATTTCTTGTTTGTGATTAGAGATATTCTTACCCATGTCCAGTATGATGTCTCCAATCCAGCTTTTAAACACACAGTTATCACCACAAACTAAAACGGAAGGGGAAAATATTATTTGCTATTGTCAATCTGATAGCGCATCAAATGACTAAAAGTGAGATTTATGCAGAACAGACATCTTTGAATGAAACCATGGGACCTGTTGACGGTTTGCTGTGGTGCATTAGCTAGGTGGTCATCAGTAGGACTGGGACAAGTGAGACCGGCCACTGCAGCATCAAACTGCTGCTCTTTCCCACCTCCCCTCACCTGTACAGCCTGACCATCCACCCATGAGCTTCTCAGGACATGTTTTCTTGCTTGCCACTCATGAACAGTGACAGAGAGCTCATGTCTGTGTTAATTTGGGCTTTCAACATTGCTTTACCTTTATTTCAAGTCACCTTGCATACTCAAAGCCCAACTTTCTGAATTTTGAAGATAAATTATAAAAATAATTAGATATAGTTAGTCCCCTACAATCCAACAAGTTCTATTATGAAAGTACGTTCATAAGTCCAATTTATCCCCAAGTTCAACAGAGTTAGCCTAGGTACCCAACTAACACAATGGAGTACCAGCTCAATCACGGCTACTTTGATGTTTGCTTCTGGACACTTTAGGCTTGAAATAAAGATACTGTACTACTGCACTCTATATAATCCTGTAAAGCAAAGTACACAAAAGCACAACCACTTGTAGAGGACACACGCATGTGACAATATACACCAGACATGTAAGGTAGCTTATGTGATGGGACACACAAATATGCATGTTTACATCTTTGAGTGTTTGCAACTTGAAGGTTTGTATGTAGGGGACTTACTGTATGCACCCATGGTGGTGCCTATGCTAGTAATTCTGAAACAAGGGAGCTGGGGTTGGATCAATTGCTCTGTCAGCATAATGGTAAAATGCCCTTGCCCTGGGGTCAGACTATCTGTGCCCTAGACTCTATCACTTATTTGCCGTTGTGGTTAAGAACAAGGTAGACTGCTGCACATCTCTGCGTCTGAGCTGGAAACTGAGCTGGTAAAGCTACATACCTCACAGAGTTTGGTTTTTTGGGGAATAAAACACGAAATATAAAACCACTCAGAACAGTGCTTAGCATAGAATATTGTCTATCTTGGCCTATTTATAACTAATAATGACATTTTAAATATTGTTAGTAGTCAAGGGATCCCTGAGCAGTTTTGGTAGCCAGGGTGATGGAAGCATGCGGTTTGCCTAGCAATGATGACCAATACATGCCTGAAGTGCCCAGTCCTGTTTTTAGGCACATTAAGGGGTTGTACACAGTATGTGCTTAGACACTTTCTAGTTAAAGTACAACAGTGGAGCATTCACAGCAGAATAACGAACGGCAACTTAGGTTTAACATTTTCAGAAATAAAGCTCTCATTAAAAAGTAAGTATTAATTAAATTACATCAAAAAATTCTAAAATAAGAGTTACTGTTGACAAAATTTTTTTTTAAAAAGCACCCTCCTGAGACCTGGGTACTTTAAAGTGTCCTAGGAGACATTCATGACGGATACTCTGATTTATTTTACCTTAAGTATTTACTTATTTCTGTTTTCACATTCATGTTGTGTGAGAACAAGCCACTGGCCCCTCAAATGTATTTTTGATTTTCTTTTGCTACTTCAATGGGTTGATGGCAACCAAAGGGAGACCCCTGGAATCCCTGAAGCCTCAATGTCTCTGTTATGGAATGGTCTTTGATTCCTATCCTTCAGCTATTTGAACCCTTGATATTTCAACTTGATATAGTACAGTTCTGTTATCAGCAGAGTTGGCTACTCAACTGCTACTTAGTATCTAGAACAGCAGGTTTTCTCCATACAGAGGCCGAGGAGTGAGGCCCAGGGGTAGAAGCAGGAGACTTCAGAGTTGAAGGTTGGAGCACACTTTTTATCAGATACCAGTTGTGCAACCTCATACACTCACATTCAAGTAGTTTTGACTTTTAAGGGAAAATGGCTTAAAAACATTTTCCAGCTCTTTAGCGGCAGCAAGGAGAGCTTGGACTCACCAGTGCACCATGTACAGTGCTCAGTGCAGTGACTTACACACAGGGGGTGGGTGAAATGCTCCCACAGCCCAGGAATTTCTCTCTCGCATTAATTATTAACACGAGTCTCCAGAATAATTATGGGTTGCCACCAGGAACCGCTTGGTAATATTGGCCATAAATTTAGGAGAGCAAGTAAATATTAACAGTAGTGCTCAAGTAAGATGTAGGAGAAAGAGAAAAGGAAGAACAAAAGGGAATAAGAGCAAAAAGGAAATAATGACCGAAGTCCTTTAAAGTCATGAGCCTGAATGGTATTTTAAAATCCTAATATAATCTCCTAACAGCCAAAAATCTTATTTCATTTTTAAAGGAAATATACACAACCCTTATATCCAGAAATGTACAAATCCAAATTTAAAAATACAATAAGCACAGGTGAAAGACTTGGCTATTATATGCAGATGAGGCACATATCTCCTACTCACTGTGTAGACAAAGTTTCCCAGCAGCAGGTAATCTGAGGTCTTCCCATTCCCAAACACAGTACCTGTATGGAGAGAAGATAGGCACACTGTTAGAAAGGAAAGCGAAATGTTTTCAGAGTCCTTTTAAAGTTAAACCAATTCAGAAGGAATCGAAGAACATAAAAGGAAGCCAGAAATGAGGTTAACTAAAACAAAAACAAAAACAAAAACAAAAACAAAAAAAGAAGGCTAACAAAGCTGCTAGAAAGATAGGCCTCAAATTAAAAACAAGTTTCCAAGAACCAACACTGAGGAAGGAATTTGATGTTAAGCAATTCTCAGGGTTTACCAGATTAAAAATAAAAACAGAAAATCAAATGTTGTTCAAGCAAAGTAGGAGAAGGCATGCTGGACCTTAATAAAAACTTTGTGAACACCATGGAGGGTCACAGGGAACCCTCGTGCTACCTCTCAATAAAGTTGTTGGCAGTGGGCCAGAAAAGATTCATGATGACAACTCTCTGACGGCCCGGAGCACCCATATGATTCTAGGCACCTGGCTCGTGGAGGACCTGCCTGAATTTAGGGGTATATTTCAAAGTGTTTTGTTATTCTAGCAATGTCTAACAAACGTGGCTTTGGATGAAGGAAGGGGTGACTGATGAACAAAAATGACCATGACGGACAATAATGAATGAAAGTAAAAAAAAAAAAAAGCCAGTTGAATAATTAAATCAATAACATTGAAAACAATAAAATTCATAGGCATGTAATCCAATATTTTATCTGTGGGCCTATTCAACAACATTTCCTCAACGTGTGAGGGTGAAATGGGTTAGAAGCAAGCAAGGGAGTGCTGGGGGGCTGTGGAGACACTCAGCAGGCTTAGTTCTGGTACCAGTTGTGCCATCTTGAGCTATTTACAATCAATTCACATGGGATTTAATTTCTTCACTCCAAAGAAGTACTGAAGCTACTTATCCTGGAGGGGTTTTGAGGCTCAAATGAGGTTGCATCTCTAAAGTACCAAGCCCAATGTCTGGTGCAAGGCACGTTTAGAATTTGAATAACTCAGGAAAATAGCTCATTTGTATACTTTCTGGTCTCTAGACCCTTTAACCAAGAAAAATCATTGAGGATCTCCCCAAGGCTTTTGTTTATGTGGTTTATATCTGTCAATATTTATCAAATTAGCATGAAACAGAAAAATTTAAAAAATATATTGGTTTATCTAAAAATAAAAACCCAATTCATGGTAATATGAACCACAGATTTTTGAAAAATTAACTATTTTCCAAAACAAGAAAAAGGGTGAGAAAACTGGCATTGTTTTACATTTTTACAGTCCCTTTAATGTCTGGCTTAATTGAAGGCAGCTGGATTCTCATATGTCGTTTTGGTTGAAATATATGAGGGGAATCCAGTCTCACAGAGACATGGAGTTAGAAAGGAAGAGGACCTTAACCATCTCTCCTCATCACTGTGGATACTCTTTGATACAACATCAAAACCAAACAACAGTTTCTTAAAGAGGTCGAGGCAGTTTTTCTTTTTTTCTTTATTTTAATAACTTCAGGGGATACAAATAGTTTTTGGTTACACGGTTGCCTCATAGAGTGACAAAGAAGTCTGGGTGTTAAGTGTACCACCACTCGCACCTGTGTAATTGTACCTGATAGGTGATATTTTGGGACCCTCCACCCATTCCTCCACTCCTCTTTCTGAGTCTGCAGTGTTCATTATACCATTCTCTGTGCCTTTGCAGATCCTTAGTTTAGTTCCTACTTGTAAGTGAGAACATGCGGTGTTTGGGTTTCAGTTCCTGTTCACTTAGAATGATGTTCTCCAATTCCATCCAAGTTGCTGCAAAACACATTATTTTGTTCTTTTTGACAACTGAATAGCATTCCATGGTATATACAGACCATATTTTCATTATCTACTGATTAGCTGATGGGCATTTAAGTTGATTCCACATCTTTGCAATTGTGAATTGTGCTGTGAGGAACATGAGTACAGGTGTCTTTTTTATATAACGACCTCTGTGCCTTTGGGTAGATACCAAGTAGTGGGATTGCTGGATCAAATAGTAGATCTACTTTTAGTTCTTTGAGAAATCTCCATCCTGATTTTCAAAGCGGTCTAAATTTATTTTTAAAAATTATTTTTAGTTTTTAGATTCAGGGGGTACACATGTATGTTCGTTACAAGGACATATTGTGTAGTGGTGGGGACATACTGTGGACATATTGTGTAGTGGTAGGGATTGGGTCTCAGGTGGCCCAGTCCCCAGATAGTGAACATTGTGCCCCATAGGTAGTTTTTGAACCCAGACCCTCCTTCCCTTCCCTCCTTATTGGTGTCCCCAGTGTCTTTTATTTCCATCTTTGTGACCGTTTAACTCCCACATATGAGTGAGAACATGCGTTGCTTGGTTTTCTGTTTCTGAGTCCATCCATGTTGTTGCAAAGGACATGATTTCATTCGTTTTTCATGGCTGGGTAGTACTCCACAGTGTATATATACCACATTTTCCTTACCCACTGATTGGTTGATGGGCATTTGAGTTGATTCCACATTTTTGCAATTGTGAATTACGCTGCAATGAAAGTGCCGGTGCAGGTGTATTTTTTCACATAATGACCTCTGTTCCTTAGGGTACATACCCAGTAATGGGATTGCTGGATCAAATGGTAGATCTGCCTTCAGTTCTCTGAGTAATCTCCATACTGCATTCCACAGAGCTGGTACTAATTTACACTCCCACCAACAGTGTTTAAGCATTCCCTTTTTTCCGCATCTGCACCCATATCTATTGTTTTTTGGTTTTCTATTAATGGCCATTCTGACTGGTATAAGGTTGTATCTCCCATTCAAGCACTAACCAAACGCAACCCTGCTTAGTTTCTGAGGTCAGACGAGATCCGGCACGTTCAGGGTGGTATGGCCACAGACACGTGTAAGGTGCTATCTCATTGTGGTTTTAATTTGCATTTCCCTGATTATGAGTAGTGTTGAGTATTTTTTCATATGTTTTTGGCCATTTGTATATTGTCTTTTGAAAGATGTCTGTTCATGTCATTTGCCACCTTTTTAATGGGATTATTTGCTTTTTTCTTGCCGATTTGTTTGAGTTCTTTGTAGATTCTGGATATTAGTCCTTTGTCATATGTATAGTTTGCGAATATCTTCTCCCAACCTGTAGGTTGCCTATTTGCTCTGTTGATTATTTCTTTTCTGTGTAGAAACTTTTTAGTTTAATTAAGTCCCACTTATTTTTGTTTTAGTTGCATTTGCTTTTGGGGTTTTAGCCATAACTTCTTTGCCTAGGCTGATGTCCATAAGAGTTTTTCCTAGGTTTTCTTCCAAGTTTTTTATGGTTTCAGGTCAGACATTTAAGTCTTTGATCTATCTTGAGTTAGTATTTGTACATGGGGAGAGATAGGGATCATGTTTATTTTTCTGCAAGTAGCTATCCAATCTTCCCAGCACCATTTTTGAATATCCTTTCCCCAGCGTATGTTTTTGTCTGCTTCATCAAAGATCAGCTGGTTTTAGGTATTTGGGTTTATTTCTGGATTTTCTATATTTTCCATCTGTCCATGTATCTACTCTTGTACCAGTACCATGCTGTTGTGGTTGCTACAGGCTTGTAATATAATTTGAAGTCAGGTAATGTGATGTCTACAGCTTTGTTCTTTTTGTCAGATTGCTTTGGCTATTCCGGCTTTTTGGCTCCATATAAACCTTAGGATTACTTTTTCCAATTCAGTGAAAAATGGAATTGGTAGTTTGATAGGGACTGCACTGAATCTGTAGATTACTTTGGGTAATAAGGTCATTTTAATAATGTTGATTTTTCCAACCCATAATCATGGGACGTTTCTCCATTTGTTTGTGTCCTCTGCAATTTCCTTCATCAGAGTTTTGTAGTTCTCCTTGTATAGATCTTTCACCTCCTTGGTTAAATATATTCCTATGTATTTCAGTTTTCTGGCTGCTATTGTAAATGGAACTGAGTTCTTGATTTGATTCTCAGTTTGGTCACCACTGGTGTCTAGCAGTGCTACTGATTAGTGTGTGCTGATTTTGTATCCTGAAACTTTCCCAAATTCATTTATTAAGTCAGGAGTCATTTGGAAGAGTCCTTAGGGTTCTCTAGGCATAAGATCATATTGCTGGCATATAGAAATAGTTTGATTTCTTCTTTTCCAATTCAGAAACCTTTATTATTATTATTATTATTATTATTTTCTTGCCTGATTGCTTTGGCTAGGACTTCCAAGGTCATACTTCTTAAAGGTTAGTTGCCAGTGTGGAATCTGAATCTATCAATAATGAATTTTTATACTTTATTACATTAAAATACATTGGTCTATACTGCACTTTGAATGGACATTTTACCCATGCATGATTCTGCTACCTCATGAAAGTAGCTGGGTCAGTTCACAATTCAAATAATCCTCAAGGTACTACTCCTTGAGACAATCACTGCACTTTGGTAGGCAGCAGAAGTGCTTTATATATACTTCCCATTTTGTCACACAGAATATTAAAGTGTGTACCTGTTTTTTGAGTTGGGGTCTTACTCTGTGTGCCCAGGCTAGAGTGCTGGAGTACAGAGCCATGATCCCGGCTCACTGTAGCCTCAACCTCCTGGGCACAGGTGATCCTTCTGCCTCAGCCTCCGGAGTAGCAGGGACTACAGATGTGCATCACCACGTCTAGCTACTTTTTTTTATGTTTTGTAGAGATGAGGTCTTGTTATGTTGCCCAGGTTGGTCATGAACTCCTGAGCTCAAGTGATCCTCTCACCTCAGCCTCCCAAAGTGCTGGGATTATAGGTATGAGCCACGGTGCCCAGCAAGCATTAGATTTACAGTGTCTTCAAGTACATTCTTAAGTGCAGCTGGGTGCATGGCAGGAAAGAATGTGATCGCCAGCATGGTGGTACCCCTGTTGGTGCTAAAGCATCAGCAGTTTTACATATCATCGCTTTTGCATTAGCAGCAAGAGACAAAAAATGGCTTGATAATGCTATAAACATTTTTAAACTATGCAATTTTGGCTTTATAGATGCCAAAAATGTCTTGGGTATTCCCTTCGAGAACTGTTGAGACAAGGGAATAAATGAATATGTAACCATATATTATATAGCATGCTTCCATTTCTTCACTACCCCATCCTTTCAAAGACAAAACAAAAACAAAAACAACTCCAAAATGTCCTCATTTAAAAACAAAAAACGAGGCAAAACAGCAACTACCAACCCTCAGTATCAGAACTGTAAACCACAGTTTATGCTGGATGTCACTCATCCCTTGAGAAAAGAAGAAAGCAAGTATTGTCTAGCCTTTGCCAGACAGAGTCTCCGCAGGCAGCAACCCATGAACGTCTTAGGCGCAGAAACGTGATGAGAGATGGAGGATCTTCTCTCTAGAAGATGGAGTTACTTGGAAGTTCCTTTCCAAGCCTGCCATTGCTAAGGTGTTTTGGATTGCTTTTTGCTTTGAGCAACTTTTGTTGTGAAATTTCTTTTCAGAATATTGAAATAGCAGTTTAATAAATGGGCAGGCTGTACCTTTTGGATCTATATGGATTTTGCATTTTGAAGATAAATTTTACCTGGAGAGCTTGTCTGAGGTCAGGGAATCCTAAATTGTACCCTGGACTTCAATATTCCACTGCTCTAAAAAAGTGGAAACAATACAAATGTCCATCAACTGATGAATGGATACAAATTGTGGTTTATCTATATCATGAAATATTACTCAGCCATAAAAAGAAATGAAGTATTGATTCCTGCTGCAACAGGGATAAATCAACGTCACATGTCATATATTTCCATTCCTATGAAATGTCCAAATAGGAAAATCCACAGAGACAGAAAAATTAGTGACAGGCTGAAGGGAGGGTGTGGAGAAACAGGACACGACTGCCAATGGGTATGAGGTTTCTTTCTGGAGTGATAAGACTGTTCTGGCATTAGATGGTGGTGGCATTTGCACTATCCTGTTAACATACTAAAAACCCTTGAATCGTACACTTTAAAAGGGCTGATTTTATGGTGTGTGAATTACATATTTAGAAATAAGCAAACGAACAAACGGACTAACTTATTTTGGTTCTTCTGGTCTCTTGGGTCAATATTCTATACTTTAATTAGATTTTCTTATCATGTTCATTCCCACAGGCTAGAAACACAGAAGTATTTACTGAGCAATTAATAAAGGAAGGAGATTAAAATCATGGCTAGGACACAACATCTCTGGCTTTCTTGTGATGTTCACCTCATTCATGCCACACATTCTTGGTAATAATTCACCCACAATTTACTAAGTGCCTACAACAAGTCAGGCACTGTTCTAAGTACTGCAGACACAACTAAATCTACTAATTCCCTACCCTGCTGTGGCTTTGACTGGAACAGAGGAGAAAGACAATGCAAAGGAAACAAACATATCACAACTTGGTAGGTAAAGATGACAAACAATGGCAGGATGACAAGGTGATGGAATGGTAGGAGTGGTGGGGACAGGGGCGGTGGCGCTTTTGGCTAGGATGATCTGAGAAGGCCTCCCTGACCTGAGGCTGGGAGGGAGAGAGCCAACTCGGATGTGTGGTGAAGAGGGAGGAACAGTATTTTTATTTAGACTTTTACATTATACAAGAAGTATAATGACTTTTTTTTTTGGCATTTGTTCTAAATGTGATAAGTGTGGGTTTCTGAGGATGCAGGCACCTGGCCTGATTTATGTTTCACAAGGATCACTCCAGTCGAGTGATCCTCGAGACAAGCTTGAAGGTGGGCAAGAGCAGGCAACATTCTTTTCTGTTGACAATCATTAACTCACAGATGGTAGGCCCCGCGTATACTTAGTAAGAACTGACAGCTCCTTGGATGGAATTCGTGTTGTGTTTTGAACATTCTGGCATTAGACAGTGGTTTTTTAATGGTGGTAGTTTTGAAGTGGACACACCAAGTGGTTGGTGTCTGCCTCAGGACACAGCAGCACCAGCTTAAGAATCAGAGCGACCTCTTTTGTAAAGTGGCTATTTAATCACTTTTACGTGTATAGGAAATACATCGTGATCCTATCTCCTCGAACTGACAGAGTCAGATCACTCCCTCAACATGAGCAGAGTAAAAGCTTACACTCCAGGATGAACATAAAAACCTATTAAAAACCTCATCCCAAACATTGGTTCAAGTACACTGAAAAATCCTGGCATGTCTGATGAGGTTCAGTATAAAGAGCTTGATACAAGCCTCTTCGGTGTCATAAATAAGCTACATAAAATATTAGCACTTATTGGCCTCAAGCTATAGATCAACAGAAGGGGGAAAAGCCTTAACATTTAACTCTCTGCGACTTTGGAAAACATGAGAAGTAAAGAAGAAAGGCTTTGCATATATTAAATCACTTTGCTCCCAAAGGAATAATAAACATCTTTAAAGTGTGTACAACTTTTGGATGCACGCATTGCAGGTTAAGGGAAATGCCACAAAACGAAATGCCGCTATAATTTTTAACAGATATTGACTGTGAGTTATTTTTCTAAAAAAAGTAAAAAGTCATCTCTTAGCATTCATATCCTTTCTACTCACCATACTGAAGGGCTTTGAGTGGAAACCAAAACAGGATGACCGAGTGGAAGAGGCCATTCAAACAATGAACCCAGAAAACCTGAGGGAAAATGAAAATCCATGAGAACCTTTTGTGATAAACTCGCTCTGTGAACCCTGACCTTCCTTTTTATCTACCAGTTAGATTCACAAAACGTGTTTCTGTCAGGCCACCACTGAGAATTAATAGAACTGACAGACACTTTCTGCCTCTTAGACTTTCATGGGTCATTTATTTATTTTTATGTTTCTCAAAATGTTTTTTCAGCTTCCCCCGAATTTTTTTCCTACTTTTTAAAAACCAAATCTCTGAAGCTTAAATTTCTGCCTGAAAAAGAAAATAAAATTTAAAATAAACGCTGATTCTGAAATTCCTTAAGCAGGGCTATTTTCATCATTCCAGAAGAATCGACTTTTAAAAAGATTATAATTCAGGAAAATCCCTTTCTCTCCCCCATGTACAAGTGTAACTTCTCAATGCTAAAGATATAATGTGCTCCCTTATACTCTATACTATATAGAGCATAAAGGTATTCACATGTTATAGCAAGTATAACATTCAGCTTGCATAATCGCTAAAATAAAGCACTGTGACTGAATTTATTAAAGGCTTTCACAATTTTTAAACACCTATCAATACCAAGTTAATTTAATTATAACATCATTTGGTAGTTACTGCATTGTATTTTAAGAACAAGAGAGCGAGTATCACTAGTACTTTCTTTGTAACATAGTTGTGAAAGATTAAGTTATAGAAAAATCCTTTAGAATTCTTATGGCCCTCCAAACAGTTGTGGTTTTGTCATTTAGAAGTGCTTCTTGCAAACAAAACTTACGCTAAATAAAATTGGCATGTATTAATAGTTTTAAGCTGTTCAAACAACAGAAATTAAGTTGCCTGCCTCCCAAAATTTTCCACCATGCTCTCAATTTCTTTTGTTAATTCACCCAGCCACACTGGGTTGTATGATCCAATTTACGCTCCAATACATTACACATTTGGACTTGTGTTACTCATTAACCTTTGTGTCTCGTCCTCACTATGTCATTACCACAAGTTTTTATTTGACAGAAAGTACAGGTGGGTGCAAGAAAAATTAGTTCTACTTTTCCATTTTCCTGACTGATACTTATTGTCACATGCTAATCCTTTAACCCCTGTCACGACCTTGGAACCTCCGACCCTTTTTACCATAACAAACGTAAGCATCATCATTCCAGGAAACAATGCTTCTACACTTGGGACCCACGGCAACCGCTGTGTATACAACTATGCATTTTGTAACCATTTGTCCCTGAGTTTTTAGACACTTCTATGGGACTTAATCAAAGACTTTTCACTTAAATCATTAGCAAAATCCATAAACCCAATAAAAATTGGTGGCAACCTATATAGATAAGCTATAAATATTAAAATAGATATGGAAATTGTATAAAGTATTTGGGTTGATCTCATAATTTTTAGGAACGCCTGGACTTTACAGATAATGGAATATTTTTTCAACAACAAAAGACAAGGATTTATGCTCCCACATTAAAACTATACATAGCGGCTACACTCCTTTCCTTGCCACAAAACAGTGTCCAGGTTGCCTTGTACAGAGGGCACGAAAAGAGGTGGCTTTGCAGGAATGACTTCGGGTAATTCTGGGAGGATTGCCTTCTGTTTTTAAGCAACAGTGACATGGCCAAGTTTGCAGATGGAAACTAACTTCTGAGATAGTGCCATGAAGCCTGATCTACGGCAGACGGGGATCTGTGGCCGAGGTGGGTACAACTGCCTATGTCGGTGAGAATTATTGTTCATATACCAGTAGGCCTGGAACTTTCCTAGTTCTCAGATAAATTTTTCTGGGAAACAGGGACCCACAGTCCATTGTATCTGCCCCAGCTGTGGCTTTCCATCATACAAAAATGCTCACCATACGTAACTAAAAACATGACAACATGCAATGTGGTAGCAATGAATATAAACTAGGCATTGTAAATAAATTTAAAAAAAATCAAAAATAAAACATTTACAAAGAAAAGCATAGACATTGCATATTATAATTAGTCCTCATTTTAAAAGAGATCAGTAAAAATACTTTTCAGAATCAGTGGTATAAGCTAGAGAATCCTTCAGTGTGTTTGTATTTTTAGTTAACCAAATTCAGTTATTTTAAACAATTTCATCAAGCGGTATGCATGTGCACAGTTTAACACATAGGCACGGTGTGTTCATGAAGATTCAGTTTCGGAAGAAGACATGTCTTGACCACAAACTTAGTGCTATCATTTTATGGTGTAAGGTTAGAGATGCCAAAACACCTGCCTCACTTTATTCTCTAGGTCTACTGAGAATAAATGTTGTTGGAAAGCTCTACAAATTCATAAATATTAAAACTATTCTAAATTAACTGGTTCTAAATTCAAGACACAAATTAAGATTATGTCTAATTATCAGTAACATGCTACTAACCATACACTATAATACATGGAAACAGTTCTGGAAGGTGTATTGTATTTATTGCTCTTATAACACTATTAAAAAATATATATGTTAGCGTTTCAACATGACATCTACCTTGATTTTTATACTATTACATTTTTTCCTCCTCATTCACACTAATCAAAATTTGAATTATTAGCAAATACCAATGGAAATACTTTAGAATGTACTCTTGTAGGAAAGTAAACTATGCAGAAAATGAGATTTTATTGTTGTGGTGGTTGCTAGGATAAATAACACTACAGATCACAAGAGACCACAGTAGCCTATGGCTTGTTATGTAGAATAAAAACCCAGAATATGATTTTCGATAGACTATTGAATGTTTTACCTCACTTTTTAAAAATGTTATGGCTTGGAAATATTGAGTATTATGATTAAACGAGTTCTTTCTCGGAGACTATAATTTTAATTCCTGACATAATCAATCTACAGTTCTAATGAGGACAAAGTTATTTTGCAAGACAGAAAGTTAGCAAGGAATTCCTTTACACATGGACAGCCAGTCCTATCAGTCCTAGATAACTAACCCCTGGGGAGCAAGCGTCTCCACACAGGACTGCAAAGATAGAAAAAGCTGGAGGACTGCAAGGACAATGACTTTTGTATTTCAGAACAGCTTTTTTTCCTGCCTCAAAAGTCCCAGCGAATCATGGTTATATTTTAATTTTTGTTAACACAAAAAACCAAATTCAACCCAGCCAACAAAAAAACTCCTCTGTCCATATCAGAATCTGAAGCAATATGACTTGCCACAATCAGGACTCTGGAGCTGTCTCACGTTAGCGCCTCCTTGGCTTTGGAAAACCAGGTGCCCACCTAACAGTAGCAGAGAAGCCAGCCCCACCTAGAATGTGCCAGGGCACTGAGTCCTACCTTGGTGTTGAAGTCCAGGGCGTTCTGAGACGTTTTGTATAATTCAGGGTACTTCAGCATGTTCTCTTTTCTGCATGATCTCTCAAATATTCCAAGAGTTAAGGGAGGCATTGCTGTAAACATCTGAAGTGCACAGACTGGTTATTATGTCAAGTAGCCAAATACAGGGTGACCCTTTATCTCAAAGCATTCGTTGAAATTGAAATTATCAAATGTCCTAAACTTACCACATTGTAAAGACCTATACACCATCTCTCAAAGAGGATCTGTCCAGAAAAGCCATTGACAAAGGCAAACCAGATCTAGGAGAAAAACAAAACAAAATACCCAAACACCCCAAATTAGAATACAAATATATAAACACATTGCTTCGAATCTGTTATATACTCAACTACTGTATTATAGCAGCTTTAACATATTATCTCCAGGACTCTTAAAATCAGTAACACTTTGCTCTACTTTTTGATTTAAAGAGGTGTTTTCATAAGGTAGTTATTATTTAAGTCAGAACTGGCTCTACTTGTTGAATCAAAAAAAGGCTATATGAACAGGCAATCATATATTTAAAAAAAATTAAATCAATCTTGTTTCTAAAAGGCAATTTAGGAAATATCTTCATATGCCATTAGATTTTTACAGTTTTAATTCCCTTCTAAAAAACCTATCAGGATGTAGTTATTTAAAAATAATTTCTAAATTCCAAAAGTAACACATTTATTTATAAAATAATTTCCTATAATAATATAATCACCATTTTCTTCTGTGTCAGTCATATTCCTATAATTCCTATTTAAATACCTTCACAAATTTACCTTACTGGATTCCTACCATGTATAGTGCTACATCCTGCTTCCTGCCTTTAACATTATGTAATATGCATTTTCTTAAGTTGTTACGTATCCATTAAAATGATGTTAATAGATGTATAAGCTTTACAGTGTGGATATAACTATTCCGGACATTTAGCTTGCTTCCAGGTTTTGCTATTATAAATAATTCTGAACTGAAATCTTACACATCTATTTTTCCTTAGGATGAATTCTTAAAGTACAGTTAATGGGTCAAAGTATGTGATTTGTTTTTAATAGTTCTTGATAATTACTGCTGTCAGAATGTTAAATTTGAATTTATATATTAATGATGTTTTTAACTTAAATTTTATTCTTTTGCAAAATCAAATCTTTAGTAGGGTCCAAGGTTCTGATATATTTTATAATTCTCTTTAAAACAGAAATCTTAGCTTTGGAAACAAAATTATAGGATGATAATAGAGAAATCTTTCTCCAGCATGTTTAAAACATAAGTAAAATTAAAGTGACCATTAGTAAATAAATAATACCTACATTTTTTTTCTTCTAAAGCAGATCTAAAATATAATTAAAGATCAAATGAATCTGAAAGAGTAAAAAGGCTGGCCCAGGAACGAGATTACATAAGCGCAAACACAAAAACACAACAACACAACCGTTAGAGGAAAGCGGTCTTGACATGTGGCTCCATCGAATTTTTGAATTGGAGTCGCAGGGACTTTGCTACACTTCACGTTTCATTTAACCTCATTACAGAAGCATGAATTGCTAAAAATTCACCATTTATCAATATGTACCCAGACCGGCCTCCCTATGAACAGCGCCTGTGCCCACACTGATCTTCCTTTTTATAGTGGAAAGGAATGATGGAGCATGTACAAAAACGAGTGTCTGTTTCATGAGATGGAAAAGAAAACAAAGTAGCAAGAGCGCACAAGATGTAAGTTCAAATTGTGTTAGGGTTGTAACACACATTAACAACAACGGACACAAAAGCAGAGAAATCAGTCAAAATTGGAGATGCTAACATGCTTTGCTACATGTGTTAGAAAACATTTTGGACATTTGTGCCTGCAGACTTTCAAAGAACTGAGCATCTTCATGTGAAGTTCAGTTTGCTCCTTCCCAGTGAGTACACACAAATTGTCAAAATAGACTTTAACGCTCTCTATTGTGTTTTCACATTTGACCTTTCTGAGAGGTGGATTATGTAAATACGTATCTGTGATATTCTGGGTGATGGTACTATTTCCCCTGAAGGCAACTGTGATCTAGTGTAGTTATACAGTCTAAGAAGTTCTTCCAGATTTCTCAGGATATGATGGAAATATGAGGAATTTTTAAACACAAACTTTCAATTATGGCCTCCCTAGTCTATGAAGACACAGTCTAATCTTTGTTGGTCTGAAGAAATATGAGGCGCTCTGCATACCAAATTTGTCTAATGGACACGATTTGGCTCAAAGGTTATCATTCTACATGAATATGTAACCATCAATACTGTACAATAGAAGTTCATGTTAGTAAATGTGTGTAAGTAAATATTTGCAAATGTGAAATGTCCCCTAGCTTCTTTACACATAATATTTGGAGCTGATGCAAAGGCTGCTGTGTTTGAAACTTGAGACTTTTCCTCAAATTGATGAATATTTCCAGAAAGTTTCAAATTCAAACTAATTTGCAAATAAACCACCAACATGTCTGAGTTCCAAGTATATTTCCAAATGCATTAATTAAGTGCTTTATGACAGAAAATTCTTAAGTGGAAAGCTGTCAACACATTTTTATCATTTTATTTTTCCTACAGGAAGGTGGGTAAACATGTATTTAGATATTTACTTCCTGCATTTTTAAAAGTAAATATTTTAATTTCTTTTCTTTTTTAAAGAAGAAGAAATGATTAGATACAAAAAGAATCATTATAGTATCCTACAACTTCACACATACATTTTGGCATTCAAGTTTACATATTTTATATTTTAAAGGAGAAAGAGAATATCTTTAACAGTGAAGTGGCCTACCAGCAGGCTGAATTCGGGTTAGTCTGACATTTGCAGTTAAATGATATATTTAGGAATATATCTTATGCTAAATAAAACAACACCTAATTTATCATACACTCTTCTGATTCTGCCAAAACCACGGATACAAAACAAACAAAAAACAAAAACAAAGCAAAAACCCCAGAAAACAAACAAACAAACACAAAAAACCAGTTCTTCTAGATTATATAAATTCCCAATGAATCCATCTCTCAGTACAACTTGCTGGGAAAGTATCACCTTACTGACTTTAATCAAAACTTCTGGAAAATAGGAACACCACATTGTTTGGGGATCTTAGAAAACCTGAATGAGACCACTCATTTGAAAGAAAGAGGTCTTATTTTGCTAGGAAGGAGTCAGACATTTCAGAGGAATAAAAAGTCTCTTTAGACAAAGCCAATAATTGAAATAAACACCTAGAATTGTTCCTGGGTAGCTACCATAAGTAAGAGCTTTATACCACCACCTCCCAAATTTGTATCTATGTGTGGCTGGAGTATCTAGATAGTGACATTCCTAGCAATACAGCAATGGGAAAAGCAGTTTTTTGTAGACAATCTATAAAACCCATGGTACTTAACACTATTCCTTTATTAGCAAAGAAATTTCAGACCTGCCTCTCCCGGTATTATTTTCTAAATCCCACCTCCCAGCAGAGGCGTGGCCACTAAAGCTTCACATTCATTTTCCTGATGGAGCATTTCTGCATATTAAACAGCAGCTTACAAATAGTCAATGACTCCTCTGCTCCCACGCCTGATCAGCACAAAACACTGAAAGGAGAGATTCGAGACTGGCAGTTGTCCTCTAGAGACATTCAATGATGTGTTTTCTGTCTATTCATTCACAGTATTGACATGAGCCATTAACATCTGCAGAACTTGTTTTAGCTGGCAAAAGTTGGGTATCTGGGAATTGCTTTAAAAGGTCAATTCATTTCCAAGACAGTTGAATTATTTTCACAATACATTTCCACAAAGTGCTAAAAGAAAAATAAAAACGAGATTTCCAGCAAAGTTTAGAATTCACTTCCTTTTCAATGTGTAAAAAATTTGGTCAGTGTTAAATATCTCATGAAGAGGCTTTAAATTTAAGGCCAAGTGAAAGGTAGGGCTAATCAGCCACAAATCACATAATTCTGGATTTGAAACAGAGTATGCGGGCTTAGTTTTCAATTGGGTTTATGTATTTTATTTTTCCTGTTAGTACATAAATTTTGCCTACTTCATTGGTGATTGTCAGTCTAGAGTTAAAAAGTGGCAAGTTGCATATTCTTATTTCATTTTATAAGATTAAATTTTTATAAGCAGATTTACTGCTGGCAGTGACTTTAAACTCCTGGTATTGAAATTCTGTGTAAACAAACTGTATATATTGATATTCATTTGTTTTGGAATGAGAAGAACAAATAATTAGAAAAGTTCACTATATAGAGGAGATTGAGAATGACAAATAGTTTAGAGAAGAATCACAAATTTATATAAAAAAAGATAATTTTTTTGATCTCATAAACTATTTTAGAAGTGCATTTTGCTTCAAAACAGACTATTCCAGACTAAATCTAGCAATAATGAACAATAAGTAAGTTCATAAAGTATCTTGTTATGCTTCCAAGTATATGATTATTTTACCTAATAGGTTGCAACCTAATTATAGATTTTTAGTGACTATTACAGCAACTGCCTGTACACTTCAAAACTAAGTTTCAATTTTATTAGCCTGACTCATAATAAGAACTATGCTCTATAAACATTTTCACAAAGAGGTTAAGAATTCTGGTGGCTCAGCCTGTAATCCCGCGCCTTTGGGAGGCTGAGGTGAGTGGATTGCCTGAGCCCGTGGTTCGAGACTCGCCTGGGCAGCGAGACCTCATCTCTACAATAAATCAAAAACTCAGCCGGGCGTGGTAGCGCATGCCTGTAATTCCGGCTACTTGGAAGGCTGAGGTGGAAGGATCGCCGGAGCCCAGCAGGTCGAGGCTGCGGTGGCCAGGAGTGGCCACTGCACTCCAGTTTGGGCGACAGAGTGAGACTCCAACTCAAAAAAAAAAGAATTCTGACAGAGGCACAAGGCACAGCTGAGCCAAACATGGGGCAGCCCTCAACTATGTATCAATCAGCTGATTTTTTTGTTTGTTTGTTAAGAGTGTTACTTTTCTGAGGTGAGTGGATTGCCTGAGACCGCGGGTTTGAGACCCGCCTGGGCAACTTGGCGAGACCTCATCGCTACAACAAATCAAAAAATTAGCCGGGCGTGGTAGTGCGCGCCTGTAATTCCAGCTACTTGGAAGGCTGAGGTGGAAGGATCGCCGGAGCCCAGCTGGTCGAGGCTGCGGTAGCCGGGAGCGGCCACTGCACTCCAGTCTGGGTGACAGAGTGAGACTCCAAGTCAAAAAAAAAAAAAAAAAAAGAGTGTTACTTTTCAGAGGAAAGTATGGGATATTATTTTCCTACAGCAAAAGGCTAGGTTGTATCTTTCCTGACAGATGTGTAGAAATAGTCAACAGATCAGAGGGCAAAGTGGCTCAAACAAACATCTGCAAGGTAGCTGTCAGCAGATTTATGAGGACATGGGGGGTTCCTAATGGGAGTGGAAGGTGGAGGTTTTCTTAACAATGGGAAGCTCATTGCCATGCTCTGTAGAGCCCCAACACTAACATGAAACACTGACAACATCTACAGTTTCATTATTACAAAGATAGCTTCTGATGCTAAAATGGCCATATGTTTTCATTTTAAAAAAAGGCAAACAACTTACTTATCACATCCAGACTAACCATTCAGTTCACTTATCTACTACTGTTGTGCTGCCCCTTATGGCAGCTCCTGGCCACATGTGGTTCATGAGTACTTGACGTGTGATGGGTCCAAACTGAGACGTGGTGTCCATGTAAAACAGACATCAGATTTTGAATATGTAGGATGAAGAAAAGAATGTGAAATATCTCACTAGTAATGTTTTCTAGTAAGCATATGTTAAAATAATAATCTTTTGAATACACTGAGCTAAATAAATACATTAAAATCAACTTGGGCTTTATTTTTTGCTCATATGGCTCCTACACACGCGGCTCATGTTGTATTTCTGTTGGCAAGCTGGTTCCTGAGAACAGGAAACCTTGCTTGAGCTGTTTTGTAGTTGCTAGATGAATAAGCCTGGTGCCTGGCACCCAGTAGGTACTACAAAAATGATTGTAGCCGGGCATGATGGCTCATGCCTGTAATCCCAGCATTTTGGGAGGTTGAGGCAAGAGGATTACCTGAGCCCAGGGGTTTGAGATCAGCCTGGGCAACATGGCAAGACCTTGTGTCTACAAAAAAAAAAAAAAATTAACCGGGTGTGGTGGCACGCGTCTGTAGTTCTAGCTACTTGGAAGGCTGAGGCGGAAGGATTGCCTGAGCCCAGCAGGTCGAGGCTGCAGTGGCCATGAATGTGCTACTGCACTCCAGCATGGGCGACAGAGTGAGACTCTGACTCAGAAGTAAACAAACAAACAAACAAACAAACAAAAAACCCCTAAAACACTCCAAATGATCAAAATGCATTATTTTATTTTATTTTCGATTTGGAATGCACATGAGGACTTACTACATAAGCAAATTGCATACAGGTGAGGTTTCGATTCTAGTAGGCCCTGTCTCACCGATAGTGGACCTAGTACCCAGTGTGGGGTTGTCTCCTATCCCTCCTCCCATCCTCCCTCCTTTAGCAATGTCCAGTGTCTGTCGTTCCCACCTTTGTGCTCATGTGACCAGTGATCAGGGCCTGCTTGTGAGTGAGAACATGCAAAATGCATCCTTTTAGAGGCGTATTCCCGACCCATTTTTTAAATGATGCTATATTTGATATATAAAAAGGATTACAGAAATTCCTTGCTGTCTGTACATAAGATATAATTATTCTGATAATTTTTAGACAGACTTGTCATCACTGGAACTCTTGCTACTCAGAAACCAAAATAGATTTGGACAGCAAGGGATCCTAATATACGTATAACATAAGAACTAGGCAGCCTGTGTATCCTTCCCAACTCCACTCCCTCGTCTTCTCCCAGAATTAGAAGTGTTAGCCTCAGCTTTCTGTTTATCACTCCCTCACCTTTAGAAAAATAATACAATTTTCTCCATGGTGTATGGTTCTTTTTTGTATGTTTCAGAGCTTTATGCAGTCCAGTTTGTAGTCTTTATAAGGCTGAAAACATTATTTCATTAGCAACTCTAATTGAACATTTCCTACCAAAGCAAAATCACATTTAAACAACACTACCTATTTTTTTTGCTGAGACAGGGCCTCACTATGATGCCCAGACTGGTCTCAAACTCTTGGGCTCAAGTGATCCTCCCAACTCAGCCTCCCAAAGTTCTGAGATCACAGGCATGAGCCACTGTGCCCGGCTGACATAACATTTTAAACTAGCATTTAAATATTCATTATTTCCCATGGCTGACAAACTTTTGTTTTAATATGTTTAGAAGCTATAAAAAGCAACTAGGCAAATGAAGTATTAATTAAAACAAGGAGAACACGTCTTTACAAAGAGAATTTCTTTAAAAATGGACTCAAGTGACAAGGATTTTAAAATCAGCCTGCTCTTACCTCGATAATATAGAGTACTATATTCTTGTAGAAACAGTACAAGATGCACTTGGAGACTCTGTTGTAGTTCCAGGCCCCATGAACCATCAATAAATTCTTCAAATACTTGAACTAAAATAAGAGTGGGAAAAAACTGATTATTTTCCTCTTCATAGCATCCGTCGACCAAGAGGAATGATGCATGGCAGAAATGAGGCTTTACCTGCGCTATGGAGTAGTCAGAAGAGTTAGCTGCCTGCAGGCCTTCATTGCCACTGATACCCACACCCACGTGCGCCGTCTGGATCATACTGACATCATTGGCTCCGTCACCGATGGCGAGTGTTATGACTTTGACTTGCTTCTTAACCATCTCAACGACTTCTGATTTTTGAAGAGGAGAAACCCTTAAATGAGAACAGATCATTGATTACCATTTTCTGAAGAGAGGCATTTTAAAGTGCCATGGTCTTGAAGGATCAGAGTAAAAGCTCCATATGAATCGTTCTCTGAAGAATCAATATGGAAAAGCCTAAGGTTAGTGCATGTTTGGGTCTCTGTTGACATGCTAAGGGAAATTTAAATAAATAAATAAATAAAAAGGTCTCAGGCGCAAACTCCTAGGTGACTGCCAGAAGATAAAATACTTTGTTAAACACCAGTTTACCAGGCTGTCTGCAGTCATTTGTTAAAGAGATGACATGTGAGTTCAGAAATTGTACCACTTCCTAACAGATAACATCTGAATTTCTCATTCTTCACTTTTGAATGAAAAAGAATATTATAAAGGCTACAGAATGACAGTTCAAATACTAACTAAATCCTGTACAGTACCTGGAAAGTAAAAGTTTTGAGCTCGTGCAAGTTGGCCTTAGGAGATGTACGATATGCCGGAAACAACTTAAAGCCCTACCTAAATTAACTGGGAATTGGCTAATCTCTCAACCTGTTCTCAGACGCAATAGTGAATCTCAAACAAAGTAAATATTGAGTGTTTGATTACAGTTCATGGGCTTAAATTGCTTATATAATCACTCATGGTCAAGCAGAAATCAAGAAGTCTCTTAAACAAATGTGGATCAGGAACAGAAGACACCAGCATCTATACTGATATCATTTTTGCTATTAGGTTGAGTAGAAGTCATTTAAGAAATACACCACAAGACAGTGAGAGGGGTTCAAAGACAGAATGCTTCAGCATAATTAACATATTGTCCACATTGTACTGGAGATGATAAAGACAGAAAAACTATACAATAAATTGGTCCAACAAACTACTAAGATAGTAATTAAATAGTAAAAAAGAAACAACTAACATATACAATGTTTGTAGCCAAAAAGATTATTCGGTACTAAATTCTGTATCAAGGTTAAGTGGTGTAGATGTCTAATAAATATCTGCAGAAACATCTGGTCATCTAAGTCATCTATTAGTCTATTTAAAAATGAGCCAAGCATGTGGTTAATGCCTATAATCCCAGCACTTTAGGGGGCCTGAGGCAGGAGGATTGCTTGATCCCAGGAGTTCAAGATCAGCCTGGGCAACATAGTGAGACCTTCTCTCTACAAAACAACAACAACAACAACAACAACAAATCAGGTGTGGTAGCCTGTCTCTAAAGTCCCAGATAGTCACTTAAGGATCACTTAAGCCAAGGGCTCTTGCCACAGACTCTAGTCTGGGTGACAGAGTGAGACCCTGACACCAAAAAAAAAAAAAAAAAAAAAAAAAAAAGAACATCATTATCCTGGAAGAGTCAATACATTTTTGTATATTTTCCTGATAATTCAGTAGGAAAAAATCCTAGCAGCAGATGTTCTGCAGAGGCGTGTGACTTTAGGACACCCCACTACTTTCTGAACTGCTTCCACTGGAGAAGCTCTGGTTTCTATTTCAAGTTTGAGAATCATTGCGTTAGACTGTGAGTTGCTTACAGAGTGAATTGGTCTTCTCTTCTTTGCACTTTTAGCACCTGGTCCAAAATAGATACTCAATAAATGGCTTCTCTATGAAAAAGTTATTTTTAATTTTTTCTTTGGATTTCCTTTTAGAGTCTGGCAGCGGTACAAAATGACACAACCGTGAACTCAGTGCAGGAATGACTATGTTGTAGCCCATTAATGGGCTATTTCATTGTGAGCCCCCATTTTTCTTCGAAGCAATTTTCATTTCATTTTCACATTTGATTTAATTTTTCTTAACAGGCTGATATAAATTGGTAGGACCACTGGCTCTAGGCCAATGTGTGAGCATGGACCACAGCTGACACTTAGCGGATGTCAAAAAGAATGCTCACCAAGGAATGATCTAGAAAGCTAGAAAGCAAACAGGAAATGGGAGTGAAAAGAGAGAAGCATTTGGAAACATCAACACCTTCCCACTCACAGGTTAATGGTATGAGCACATTTGGGAGTCACATCATGGGATCAAGGGAACTCGGAAGTAGCAGTACTTTCGTCATAAACTGAACCTGTAATAAAGGAGAGAGCTCGGCGTGGCAAGCTCATATTAGCTATTTAAAGAAGCATCAGAAAAGAGCTGGACTAAATTTAGTTTCCTTTCTTCGTGGTGATTAGATTACAAACGACCACTACTTTCTTTCCTTGATGATGCAATTTTCAATACACTCAAATTAAAATTGGTTGAGGGTTTTCATCCAATTCCCTGGGTATGGTATACTCTGGGGTTAAAACCAAAGAGTAGGAATGCCCTTAGCAAGAATAATACCTGTGTTTTAAAAAAAAAGATGCTGCTGCTGATGATATAATAAAAGGTATCCCCCACATATGCGGTAACTGCTACTTAGTGGGGGCATCTGCTTCTGTTAGCAAGTTAAACGCAAAAGACTGGCTTGGAAGAAGACTCAAGAAATAATGAAAGTTCTTGTATCTGATGAGTTTGGAATAGCAGTTGATGGATAAAGATGTCAGATTTCAGTGGGAGTCCATAAAAAACAAAATACATATTCTTAAAACATTTAACTCGAAATATGTATACACACTTGTGATGTAGGGCAATGAATCTTACTTTGCATAGGGATCTGCTGTTCGAAATTCTGCACATTTTTGTTGCATAATTCTCACCCACAAGGCACAGGTCATGGTATGCTTCATGAACATAGAGACCAGAATGCCATGATTTCACCAAACTCAGTTTATTTAATTTTTTTTTTTGAGTCAAGGTCCCACTCGTCACCCAGTCTGGAGTGCAGTAGCACGATTACAGCTCATGGAAGCCTTGACCTCCTGGGGTTTAGGTGATCCTTCCACCTCAGCCTCCCAGGTAGCTGTGACTACAGGTGCATGCCACCATACTTGGCTGACCATTTGTTTTGTAGACATAAGGTCTCATTATGTTGCTTAGGCTGGTATCACACTCCGGGGCTCAAGCAATCCTCCTGTCTCAGCCTCCCCAAGTCCTGGGATTACAGGTGCGAGCCACCATGCCCAGCTCCATTTATCCCAGTTTATAGCTATCTTACCTACCCCAAATTCAACAGCAAATTTTTTAGCAACTAAGAAATCACTCTACAGCATTATACCTGGTTTTCCTGGCAATAGCTAGGAATCTCGATGATCTCAGTGACAAAATATTTAGCTAAATGATCATTACTATGGCATATGGCAAGAATAAGTACCACTTAGGAAGCACCAAGTCAACTCATGGAAGCAAGGGGGCATGTACACATAAAAAAATCTGAGGTCTAAGCAGAGTATGCTGTGCGTACCTGGCAGGAGGCCCTAGGGAAGGAAAGTGGCTGAAGGGGACTGAAGGTTAGTCAAGTTGAGGTCAGTTAAGAAGATCCTCTATCATGTTTATAGCATCCTTTAAAGAAACTGTACCTTGCTACAAGGAGGTGTGCAATATAGTGAGACAAAATGGTAAGACATTAAGAATGAGTGTAGCATACAGCTTTTTGATAGGATTACTCATACTCAGTAATTTTAGAAACCAGCAGGGGCTGGAAGATGCAGGCTTGAGAAGTTAGAATTTAACTTGGCCTTGACAAAGAGAGAAGAGTTCACTTTAGGTAACAGAAGTAGCACATATTACATTTCTTTAACTTCACATTCAAAATTCTCTAGAATATGTTCCTTTCTACTGCTGTGTTTCCAGCTCTTAAAAGACACTCACTCCACTCAGCGTTTATTAACTTTCTTCACTTTTTTACACTTGCTTCTATATCTGGACAATTTATAATAGTCTAGAACAATCTTACCACACAAGTAAATTCTTTCCATGCCTATAAAAAAACCCCACATATCCATGACTGAGAAGATCTAAAATGTAAACTTCACAAGCACCAGTGGTGACCCAATGAATAATTCTGGAACATAAATGTGCTATTTTCTTCCCCTAGATTTTTTTCTTTAACTACGTGTGGGTCTGCATCAGGATTTAAATTATTCACAGTTTGCTTCCACAATTACTTTTTCTTCTTTGGGAGAAGTTCAAGAGACACTATGGAAAAAGACTACACATCCAGTGTGTACTGTAAAGGTCTGTTTCTCTTCCCTGTGGCTCCACAAACAGAGGGTGGTCCTCTGTCATACAACCTAGAAGTGCACTAAGTGCAATGTGCTTTTCAGATATTATTTTGGCTATAGTCTCTGCACATGTTATTCATTATTTTTCTTATTTGCTATGTAGTAACTCTCACTGCCCTGTGAACATTAGATCAGAGCACTGAAAATTTTTACCATTTAAGCTAAGAAATATACAGATGGTCTACCTTATATAAGCCTTGCTTTGAACTCTTTTAGTGGGATTAGCTAAATGAATCACCTTTCTGAATAAAATATAAATACGATTTTATTTACATGTATATATACAGACATAATAATAATTTAAGGAAATTTTCATAGGTAGCTAAAAGGAGTAAAATAATTTATTTTACTGGTTTGTGTTCTGGAGTTAATAACCCAAAAAAATTCTCATATATACAATATATATACACACACAAATTATGCTGATAACATAATGCGATCTCAAAGACTTATTCTATAAACTTAAAAGTTACTATAAAGTTGCCTTTAGACGGTGTACCTAGAAAAATTTTTTAAGAAGAATATGGAGGAATATAGTATTTCTTCATTGTCCTGAAGTGTTTTTTACAATGACCAACTGCCTGCATTTACTAAGTTTGAGGTCTGCTGCAGGGTGACTGTTTACAGGCCAGAATCATTATGATGCCAGATGACGCTAGTTGTTCAATGGGTTATTTGACTTTGTCAAAGAAAAGAATTTCAGAGTGAGTTCAAAGCATAGTTTAAGACTGTTTATTAGCAGGAAGACACATTCAAGAGAGAACATAGGTGCCTTAAGAGAAAGGACATGTGCTTGACTTTGACAAGAAGCTTTATAAAATTTTACAATGATGATTTAGTAAACCATGAGCTAAGAGCG